TAACTTGAATCAAAATCAGTGCTTTTTTTTTAACTTGAATGAAGATCTAAACCAGCGCATATCTCAAAATATTGAAATGGTCCGAGGGTGCTGAGAGAGATCACTCAGTATCTGATAGAGCTCAAAGGATGAAGAGCTGCATCCAGAGTTTGGCCACAGAAGGGCTAAGGCTTTTCACTTTGCTCATTATGGAGCCATGAGCCAGGAAAAAAATCTGATTTGGAGGTGAATCAAAATTTCCCCATAGCTTTTAATACTGAAAAATCCAGCTAGGAAATTAATTCCTTTTGAGTTTCATACTCCCAGCTGACTCCAGGCACAAAATCCCCGGAAAACAGGTACCCCTCTGAAAAGGTTTGTCACGGTCCCTGGATCCAAACGTTCTTGTCCAGGTGCAGAACAGCCCGTCTCCCGCCGGCGTTGGCTCTCCTGGCAGGACAGCCCAGGGCTGTGCAAACGTTTCTCAGGTCACCCACTTTGTTGCAGAGCGTGTCCTACTTAGAGGCTTCTCTAAAATGAAATTGCAAGGACGGAGGTTTTAATGCTGAGCTCTTGCTGGTCCAGGTGGCTCCTGCGGTGGGATCTGCAGCTTCCAGCCCTTTCCAAAGCTCAGTTGTGCCCCAGATGGGCTGAAATAAAATGAAATAAAGCAGATCACAACAAATTACTCACCTGAAAACCTCCTTCTGATAAGTGATTATGTTCTTGCTGATAATACTATTTATTTAGGGGGGTTATTTTGCTCAATAACCAGGAAATAACCAGGGTCTGGGATGAAGAAGAAGAGGGCACATCCTCCCTCCTATGAGAATGGGGAAATGTGGGGGGGTCTTGTCTGCTGCCCCAAACCTGCTAATTGGGGTTGTGGGGAGGGGCTGGGGGAGGGCTGGACCACGGGATGGAGGAGCTGGAGGGAGGATGCTGGAGGAGGCAGCGGAGGGGCATGTGCTGAGGATCAGATTGGTCCCAGCAGTGAAAGCACATGAAAAGTGAGTGAAGATGGGAAATTTGTGACACTGGGTTCACGGGCTGGAGCTGTCACTTGTCTTGTCTGGGGCAAAATAAGAGCAAAAGCATAGAAAGGCACCGGTGACCAGCCCAGGCTCACACCAGCTCCAGGTATCCAAAGGGATGAGGATGAGCCCCATGGAAGTGTTCTCCTCACCCAGAACTCAGGTGCACGGGAGAGACTGTAAATGAGTGGATTTGTCTGAGACTTGGTAGGAGAGAGGGGAGAAAAAAAAAACCCCAACATGAAAGGAATTTAACAGCTGCAATGAGCCTAAATGGTTGCACAGGAAAATCCCCTGTCAACCACAAAGGGTTTGCCTTTAATGAGAAAGCAGGACATGCGCGAGTAGGTTGCTAATTCTTTGTGTAAAATCCTACCGGTAATTGCTACACATGTACCTTCCCACTGTCTCCCATGCAAGTGGGATTTTTTTTTAATTTTTTTTTTTTTTTGCCTTTGGAGCTGAAATTAAAAACAATTTATTAGAGAATAATTAATGCCAAAGTGCCAGGAGATCGCGCCCGGCGCTGTGTTTGGGAGAGCGAGTCGCCAGCAAATTGGTGGGTTTACAATTTGGGAAGGGATTCAAGGGATCAGCCGGGGCTTGTCTGGCAGCTACTTCCTCAGTCAAATCATTAGTTTTTGTTAATCCTTTGCAAAAATCTGGTGATTCGGGAACAAATTTTTACAAGTATTTCAGTCCCGCTTTAGGAGGCCAAATCCTATTACTGGGTAATGGGACTTCAGCCTCCCAGGAGCAGAGATGCTTTGGGAGCTGTGGGTTTATGTGGGGGTTTCTTCTCTTTTCATTATTGGATTAAAACCTACCCCACCCCTCATCCAGTACCGGGAACTGAGTAAGCAGGGAGCTACACCAGGCTGGAAACCAACTGGAGCATAAAAACCCCAGTTACTGTTCCTGGGGCTTACGGTCACGCTGTGATTTTGGGTGATTCCTGTGACTCTTTGCTGATGGAGCTCAGCCTTCCTGGCTCTCACCGTGTCCCCGTGGCCATCAGAAGCAACAGCCTGGCCCAAGGTGATCCCTGCAGAGCCCCAAGGATCTCCCTGCCCAGAGACACCCCCAAAACCTGCAGCCCATCAGCATCCGTGTTTCAGACGTGTTTTGATAGAGAGGAAAAACTCTTTTTAAAACCAAGTGTTTGTGGGAACTAAGATTGGTTTTCGTGTGTTTTTCAGGCCACCTGCCCTGAGGACAGTTACAAACAAACCCCAGAAAGTTATTTTGAAGAAAGAAACAAAACAGAGAAGAAAAATCGAGGAGAGCACTCAAAGCTGCCGGTGGGAGCTTGATGCCCTGGATGGCAATTCCCTGCCATCACCACCCTCCCCGTCCCCCCCATTTTTAATTACAAGCAGTCAAACTGTAAAGACCTTAATGGACATCTTAATTATTGCGTTAAAGTTTGAAATGGAAAATTCCTCATTAGGTGCCCTGCAGTAGGTCACGGCTGCAATAAACGGCGATATTTTGCTTGTTACGGCGCTGGGTGCCCTTTGCAGAGCGACGGTGTCTTTGGGGCATGTCCCAGCCCCGGGGAGCTGGCAGGTGGATGGTAGATCAGGTCTCTGCTGTGAGAGCATCTGCTTGGGTTTTCAAGGCGAAAGTATCAGCAAGAAGGGCTCTTTGCTATTTCTTTTCTCCTCCAAACAGCGCTATTTTTCTCCTGCGTTTTGCTTTCCATCTGCTTGAATGTGTTTATTGATTTAGTGTTATGCAAACTGCAATAAAACAGTATCCTTCCAATGCTCTAGAGCCAGCTATTGAATATGCCCCAAACAATTTAAATACAAACTGGTCCATCAGCGGCGACACGATGTACCTGTGATTAATCAGCCTTTAAGCCCATTCCCAGACTCCCAGTCCCTTTTGCACCTCACCAGTCCCTTGTTCTGGGCAGGATGGAAGCTGGGCTCCAGCCTGGCAGGCAGGGTAGACCTGGCATCTGCACAATTTTAAGGAACATGGCAGAGCTCACTCTTTTCCTTCAGGCTTTACACAGTGGCAGGATACCATGAAGAAGGACAGGGCAGGGTTTAAGTTGAGTCTGTGGCTTCTTAGGGCTTTTCAGGTCAAAACAGCTCAAGTGTGTATGTCAGGGGTTGTCTGTGCCTTTGTAAAAGGAGCAAAAGGACAGCAAAAAATTAAGGATAACTTGCATTCCGCTAAATTATCATCAGCATCGTTTTCATACCACGAAGTTTCATGCTTTTTTTTCCTGAACACATTGAGGAGAAAATTAGTGGACTCTGCAGTCCTTAAAGACATTTTCTTGATTACCTGACCCGACAGATGAGGTTTGAAAATCCCTTTAGTGGCTATTTCTCCTTTTAAAATGTACTCCCAAACCTTCGCTCGCTGTCCCCAGCCTTACTGGACAATTGTCACATGAAGAGGGAAGGCAAATGCTGGGACAGCAGGTCCTGGGACCCCCCAGCACAGGCTCTGGTGATGAAAGCCACCAGGCAGGGCTGCTCCTCGGTGGGGACAGGCTCTGCTGGCTGCCCAGCTGTGCCAGCTGTGCCAGCTGTGCCAGCCAAACCATCCGCACCAGCCACACTACCCGTGCCAGCTGTGCCAGCTGTGCCAGGATGAGCAGCTCTGGGCCGGCGGGGAGCTGCCACATCCCAAATCAGACAGCTCCCTCTGTTGGCATCTGCTCGAACCGATCAGCCAGGATCCACAAAAAAGTTGGGAATGTCCTATTTTTAACACCCTTTCCAAGTGGAAGGCGATCTGGCTGCAGGGGGGTGTATCCCACCCAACGGAAGACTTGCTAAATTTGTGTTATTACTCTAAGAAATGATATTAGACCACGTCCCCTGGTGCTGTACTGATTGCAGCGCTGCTGAAGATGGCTCCTTGGTCATTTTTCCAAAATTAGTGGGAAGAAGGTGCAGCTGGATGTACTCTGAGGTCCAGCACAGGAGTCCACACCAGGCTGCTGTGAAAATGTGCCAGCCCAGATAGTTTCCCAGCCCAGAAAATATTCTCCCAGCACAGCCTCCCATCCCCTCCCACCAGCCCTAAGGTTAATCACACTAAACACACTTAAGCTGTGTCTGTCCCTCACTGATCATGCAAACGAGCACCTCTGCATTCACAGGACAATCAGACAGTGTGCAAACGATTCGCTGCCTTTATTTCTTGAGGTCCTTCCCTAACAAAAACTCTCAGACAGCAAGCTTTGGCAAGGTCGCTTAAACAAACAACAGTACAGCCATGTAAAATGGTTTCGATACTTCACCAAAGAGGTACGAACATAATGAAACCTAAGCCTCAAATGTACTTTAAATATTTAACTTATTAACCAGACAATCCGGACCGTCCACCGAAGTGGGAGCGGGATTTACAGAGAAGGCACAGCCAGCAACACTGACTTTCTTTTGAAGATTTTAATTCCCAATTGCCCCACCTGCAGAGCCAAGGGGTGCCCAAGCTGCCTGGTTCGAGTGTGAATGATTTAAGCTCACCAACTCTTGGACAAGAAATGGTGCTACCAGCAAAGAGAAGCAGAACTCACTCCTCCTGCTCCTGACCTGCAACACCGAATGGCCAGGGAAGATGTTAAAAGAAAAAAAAAAAAGGAAAAAAGCCTGGTTTGCATTTGCTCTGTGCCCTCCCCATTTTCCCTGCTGGTTTTCCGAGGCTTCCCAGCAGCGTTGGTGTGTCCCAGCTCTGCAGCGCTGTGGCACCCCACATACAGGGTTGTACCCGTGGTACCAACCAGCCTTTTAGGGGAAAAATGCACAGAAGGAGAAAAAAAACAACTTTCTTGTCTCTCTGTCCCCCAGTCAGGCCGCACCAATCCTGTATTTTCCTGTGAAGACATCAGGCAGTTGCATCTTTACCTCTTAATACCCCGCCATGAGTAGCCCAGCTCAGCCTGGTGGCACCCATTAGTGTCTCTGCAATTAAAAGGCTGTCACTATTTTCACTATAAACCCAGCCATTCAGAAACTCCAACATACCTTCCAAGAAGAAATTTGGCCAAAACAAAAGGAGAAGCAGGGGATAATTAATTATTTTTTTTTTAAGGACAATGAATCTGAACCTATCACTCTCCTGCACGGTGAAGCCCTTGAGATCCCAAGTCTCAGCTGAAGTTTTGTGGCAAGCACTAGAGAAATCAAAAAGAACTTTTCAGGCTGCAAGCAAGGGGTGGGAGGAAAAGCAACGAATTGCTTTAATATGAAATGTCACCTTTAAAATAGATCCTACAAAACCAGAAACTGTAGGCTGGTAAATCCTTCCCTTCTAGAAATACTGTGGGGTTTGGTGGGAGCACCACTCAAAATAAGCATGCAGAATCAGGCCTCAAGTACATAAAATATAGAATTTGGTTACTTAAATTTAAAAATATTTATAAATAACTTAAGACATTCAGGCTCAGAAGCGTGTGCAGCCCAGTACTTCCCTCTGACACAGGGACCCGCAGGGATCCACAGCCAGCACCATGGATCCCCCATGCACAAATCTGCTTTATGCTTAACGTGGAAACCAAACCTGCCCCTTGCAGGCTCTTTGGAAAGTCTCCGGTGTCCCTTGGGGAGCAGGTGAAGGACACGTCTGATCAAGCAGAAAGCATCTGGGAGTTCAGATCCACAGCACAGCAGGGGACCTGTTCTTCCTAAACATTCACAGCTCCTCGGTGGCACCCACCTGGAGAGCTCAGACCAGCTAAGTCTGACCACGGGTGATGGCAGGTCTCCTCTGCTCTCACCTTGGAGGTGGTCTGCCTTGGCTCAGGGCTGGAGTAAAGCCAGCAGGGAGAGGAGGGAGCCCTTGAGCTCTGTCCTTGATCAAGCAAAGATGGGCTCTACTGGCTTGAGCGATCTGCTCTGCAGCCCCCAGCTCAGCTCCAGCACCACGAAGGCAGCTCCTGGGTCCGTGGTAGACATCCAGCCTGAAGACTTCCCCTGAAGGGAAGCCTTGAATTCATCTCACAACCCTTTCTCTTGTAGACCTGGCTTGTACCCGTCGAGCAGACTGCAGAATGAAGGCACACGAGGGAGGGTTAAGGTCAGAGGTACGTTAGTTTGGATTATTCCTTCCATGAAGTTCAGAGGACACGTGTTGCCCGAGAGGCGGCCACCCTCCCTGTGGTCAGAGGACGGCAGAGCATGAAGGGACCTGTTCCCCTCTCCAGGGCAAACCTCAGCTCCCTCCGGAGACAAGCCGGGTGAGCTGCTTTGGCCACGTGGATATTTGTCCACTAGACATGGACTGGGGCAAACTGGTCACACGGGCTGTATCCTCACTGGAGATGTTGAGCTGGACGGCTCTGCAGGCCATCAGCTATGCCCTGAGCAAAAGATTCTAAATTTCTTTTCTCCCATGGGTTTCATCCAGACCCATTACGTGCTTGGTCTCCGTATACTTTTTCCTGTTAAACACCTTAAAAAAAAAAATAATTCTTTGGCACTTGTGCGACAATGACACATAGATGTGACACTCTCCTGTTCCTCGGCTGTTTGCTGGACTCATCTCTAGAGGTCCATGTATGCAGAGTCCGTGTCCACCCTCTGGGCCTCCCCGAACACGAGGAATGCACAGAGGCCAATGCTGTTAACGGCAGCCACCAGGTTGAACACAGAAATCCAGGAGCCCGTTGTCTCAATCAGGTAGCCAGCCAAGTACACACAAATGACACCTGGGACAGGAGAAAAGAGAAAGAAATGCAAAGGCTCTGGGGCCAGATCCTGCCCCCTGCGAGGAGAGGACTGCATTGGAATAGGCTGCCCAGGGAGGGGGCTGAGTCACCATCCCTGGATGTGTTTAAGGGACTGAGGGATATGGTGTAAGGGAGGACTATGTAGAGTCCAGCCAAGTACACACAAATGACACCTGGGACAGGAGAAAAGAGAAAGAAATGCAAAGGCTCTGGGGCCAGATCCTGTCCCCTGTGAGGAGAGGACTCCCCAGGAAAGGATGAGCTGCAGGAGGGTACTTTACCTAGGAGGGCTCCGCCTGTATTCCCAACGCCTGTAAGGAAAGGAAAGGCATTGTATGCCCAGGAAAAGGATGAGCTGCAGGAGGGTACTTTACCTAGGAGGGCTCCGCCTGTATTCCCAACGCCTGTAAGGAAAGGAAAGGCATTGTATGGTAGAAACCCACATCCATATGCACAGCCAAACGCCCTGCTGATGGCTGGGACAACAGACACTGTCCCTGTCTCCTCCCCGTGGGGCAGACAAGCATTTGGCAGCTAGGAGGGCTCCGCCTGTATTCCCAACGCCTGTAAGGAAAGGAAAGGCATTGTATGGTAGAAACCCACATCCATATGCACAGCCAAACGCCCTGCTGATGGCTGGGACAACCGACACCGTCCCCGTGCCCTCCCCGTGGGGCAGACAAGCATTTGGCAGGTTGGTGGGGCTGCCCACCCCCAGCAATGGCAGGAGCATCACAGAAGGAAGCTGAGGCTGCACGTATGGAGCAGACATCGCACGGAGCTACTCCTGCCCCAACCATAAGGGTGATGTCCATGTCCCCTCCCGTTCACCCCCCTTTCCAGCACAACCCAGACCCCACCAGGTCCTTACCGAACAGCAGGCCAGCGCACGAGGGGGCCAGGTCCTGTACATTCACTGAAATGCCACTGGTGAGAAAGAAAGACCAGGGGGGAAATAGGAGTTTTAATGGAGCACAATCGCTTTTTCATAATTTACACAAAGTTTCCTTCGTCAAACAAAAGGAAGGGGTCCGGGACAATAAACGGCACTGGCAGGAGAGGGGAGGACAGAGGCTGAGGGGGAAGCAGCATGGGAGAGTACCAGGAGGAAAAGGATTCAACTCAAAGAGTTCAGAGGGGCCAAAACACAATTCCTCTCCTGCTTCATCTCCCTAATACCTGCTGGTCCAAGCCCTTCCCCAGGCTAGAGGTTTGCTGGATCATTTCCAACCCAGCGGGCACTGGACTCCACCGGCCTCGCAGAGACCAAGAGAGGATGCTCAGCCAAGTGCCAGTTCTCGCTCTGACAGTCAGGATGGAGGCAGCCTCCTCTGAGACCCCAAAATGATGAGTGTGGAATTAGAGCTACGGGGCCACAGCTACCGTCGTTACCACCCTCCTTACCTGTGGTTAAAGGTCTGAAGCCCAACAGAGGCGGAGGCGAAGACGATGGCTTTGCAGAAGCTGGATGTCTGGCCCAGGCACAAAGCAAAAATGCTGGAGACGCCGGAGCCGATGACCTGGAAGAAAGGGGAAAATTAAATACCACAGCACATTTTCTGCAAGGAAGAAAGTGACTCCTTTCACGGACAGACTGTTCCCTTTACGATGGCAGGAGGTTGTGTGCACCAGGTGCTTCTCAGGCCTTTTTTAGCCCCAGTGTCCTGCCTTTCTGTGTCAGAGCAGGGACTGCCCTTCTGTCCGGAGGGCTGGGACACCGCGGGGCAGTGAATGCTGTGCTCTCACCCAGCATTTCTATTTCTGCTCGTCCTTGTATTGCTATTTCCTCAGTATCTAAGGGGTCATTGGGAGTGAGAGCGTATGGTTGGCCTTTGCCTGTGAAAGAAAACCTCTTCGGAGCACTCACAAATCTCCGTGCTCAATGTTACCCTTGGTCCATGCTCTGTTTCCTCAGTCAGGGTTTTCCTCTGGATTTCATTTCCCACACACACTGACCATCAGTCTGTCCCAAAGCTCAAACCCTTTCCCCTTTCCACCTAAACCCACCTCCCCAGCTCCGTGCCGGGTCTAACCTGCCGTGCAAGCAGAGCTGGGCAGGCAGCTCAGGTGTCTCTCCTCTGGCTTCAGCTCTCTTACCTGCATGAACTTACGGATGGTGATGGTTTTGTACCCTGGAAAGGAAAGGAGAGTCGCAGTTTAGCACAGCTCACCTGGTCTCCTTGTTCAGATGGATGGATTTCATCTCCTGAAATCCTGATACTGTGGCTGAGATCAAAGGGAGTCCCAAACCCTAGAGTATTTACCCCACTTTCACATTAGAACTTCACGTTATCTATTTCCTGCGTTTTCTTCTCCCTCCCAACAATCCCACCTCCTCCCCCTCAGGTTCTCTTTCCACATCGCGTAAAATAAAGAGCCGAGGAAAAGCCAAAAGAGCTCTTACCCTGGTTGATTAAATGATCAGACAGAAATCCACTGAACAAGCTTGTCGGAATTGCAACCAGCCAGGGGACTACATTAAACACCCAGCCCTGAAAGGCAGCAAAAATCAAGAGAGGTTTGCTGTCAGAGCTGAGTTTGTCTGCAAATATTTTATCTGATAGTCTGTGGTATTTGCAGAAATGAAAAAAAAATGAAGTGATGGGGACTTCTTGCAGGATCTCTACCCCCTTCACCCAGCAAAGCTCTCAGCTACACCCAGCACCCCCCCAAAGGTTACAGGAGCATTACGGGGCTGTTGGATTTATCCGTTTGTGGTCTTTCCTTCTGCCCCGGTGACCCTGCCTTCGAGGGAGAGGCAGAAAGCTCTGCCTGCTCCGGGAAAGAGGGAAAGTTTACTGTTGGGCAAGGTGATGTGGCGGGGAGCCAGAGAGCCCCGGGAAGCCAGCTGTGGAGTCTGCTCCAGCCCGTGGGTCAGCAGGAAAGCCGGCGGCAAAATTTCCAACATCAGCTTCAACCTCATTAGCAGCGTTACTGTGAAGCTGAGGGAACAGAGCTGGATTTTCTAATGCCAGGATTAGGTAACATTATGGGTAGCAACATACTTTGGCCTATTTTCAATTAAGGGAGCTTGCTACAGTTGTAATCACAGATGATTACCAGTCATCTGGATTAGAGCTGCTCAGAGGCGTTTTGGTGCCCAGATCCCAGGAGGAGCTGAAATCAGTGCGGGTTGAGCTGGGCTTCATCTCAGCTGGTTGAACCTGCCCATCCATCCATCCATCACCCCCAACATCTCCCCCTTTGCTCAGAGCCCATCGCCTTGCCCATCCATCCATCCATCCATCCACCACCCCCCACATCTCCCCCTTTGCTCAGAGCCCATCGCCCCGTGGAGGCATCCCTCCATCCCTCCCTGCCTCCCCTGGCTTCGGGATGCACAGAAGGGCTGAATAATCTTGGTTTTGAATAATCCCATTTAAGATGCTCCTGGAAACCGTACCAAGGTCCTTCTGCATCTTTCAGTGCCTTTGAAACTTCAGGTCTTGGTCACTTTTGAAAACGTTACCCCACAGGGCTTGTGGAGTAACATCTCTGGTGTCTGTTAACACCAGCTGGGATTGCTCAGCAAGTCAGACCCAACACACCAAAGCCACCCTTGTCTTGTCCCTATGGCCCGTTGTCCCTCACAGCAGGACCCAACCCCTCCATCTCCCCCATCCAGGTGGGCTGGAGGCAGCGGTGGTGGCAGCAAACCTGCAGAAAGGGACTTTGTCCAGTAGGTGACACAGGTTTCCCACATTAAGGATTATCCTCCATCCTACTTGTCCCTATGGCCCATTGTCCCTCACAGCAGGACCCAACCCCTCTATCCCCCCCATCCAGGTGGGCTGGAGGCAGCAGTGATGGCAGGAAACCTGCAGAAAGGGACTTTGGCCAGTAGGTGACACAGGTTTCCCACATTAAGGATTATCCTCCATCCTTTAAAGCCAAGCATCCTCAAGCCCCGTTTTACCAACATGTATGAAGCGATTATCAGATGCAGGAACGTATATAGAGCATCTTACGTAAGGGCACCATCATATAATGCTTAACAGATGGTAAATTACTGCTGCACAAGCACATTACTCGAGGTGCACAGATCTCGTCACAACAATATGTTTGCCGGCTTAATATATGATTTAAATATAAATATCAAGTATGCCATAAAGCGCCTTAGACATGTAACATGAAAAGGCTTTTGTAAGCGGCTCTGGAAATAATAAAAACCTAACAGAGCCATTGTGGAAAAGACTGTCTGAGTTTCTGAGAATAAGGTCAAAATACCAGCTCTCAGCCCAGATGAGCACTGCCCAGGTTTCTGAGAAATGGGAACAACATTTGTGCTGAGGAGAGGGAAGCTTTTATAGTATTTTTGAAGCACACATTATTAGCGGTAATTATAATTTTCACAGCCAGGTCTGAGCTATACAATATCAGCTCAGCTAAAAACCCTGTGAAAACCTAGGTGTGAATGGTTTGGGGGACATCTGCAACAGGGTCATGTTGTGAGCTCAGTGCTGTTTTAAAACCATCCTTCCCTGAGAAGAAAAGCAGTCAAAAACCCAAATATAACCCTCCCTTTCCTGCCTGGAAGGTACCCCAGCTCTTCCCAACTCAATTCAGCATCCTTGAATGAGCAACCAGAAACCTCTTTCCTGCCTGGAAGGTACCCCAGCCCTTCCTCACTTCAGCATCCTTGAATGAGCAACCAGAAACCTCTGTCTCCCTGGAGGGAGGATGCTCGTTGGCATCTTCAAATGCATGTGCAGGGGTGTAACGGCTCCTGAGCCTTCCCACCACCTCCCTCAGCCATCATCTTCCTCCCTAACCAACCCATTTCAGCCGGCACCCACCACCTCATTCCCACATCTCCCCCTTTGCTCAGAGCCCATCGCCCCGGGGAGGGAGGATGCTCGTTGGCATCTTCAAATGCATGTGCAGGGGTGTAACGGCTCCTGAGCCTTCCCACCACCTCCCTCAGCCATCATCTTCCTCCCTAACCAACCCATTTCAGCCGGCACCCACCACCTCATTGGCCCAGGGACCCGCAGGGGCTGTGTCCCAGAGCCAACTCACCTTTGACTCGGGGAAAGTTTCCTTGAAGAAAGTTGGCAGCCAGGAAAGGAGAGTGAAAAACGTGCTGGCCGTGGAGAGCTGAGCGATGATGACAGCCCTGGAAACACACAGCGGGGAGGAAATAATCAGGAGTGACAGGTCACCCTGGGTGGGAAACAGGCACTCCAGCAACCCAATATTTCAGTTCCTGGTCTATAAATAAACCCCTCACGGCGCTGCAATTGCTTCCTGAGATTTTTCCATAGATGGCTACTCCTTCTGGCTGCCACTCGCAGCACCGCTCGCTCCTTCCCCACCATCAGCCCCCAGCTCCAAGCAAGGTTCATTCCAGCAGCAACTGGGCGAGCACATTTCCCACCAGTCCCTTCCAGTGCTGCAAGAGCTGCCCTGCTCCAAGAGGCTTTCTTTAGGGATTTCTAGGGATTTCTTATCAGCAGATGCTCCGTGGTTATTCAAGGCAGGAATGGGCTTGCTGCCCTGCAGCCCCATCGCCCTCCTCCCCGTCTTTAAACAGCACTTGGGAACACGCTTGGATGAGCTTCAGTACCAAATGCAGCATCCCAAAGCAAAAATGGCCATTAAAAAGATGTTTTTCCAGCAATGAGGACACAGCCTGTGCCACCTGGTGCCCCTGAGCAGCAGTTCTTAGGAGCCCATTACAAGCAGCATTTCTAACGAGAGCGGTGGAGAATATCTCTCCGGAGGAGCACACAACCCACACAGGGAGCAGCCTGCCAAGGAGGAAAATTTGCCCATAATATTCAAACCTGACATTCCTCCGGACAGAACATACACCACCTTTTGTCAAGCTTACCTTTTGAGTTCTTTATTTATACAGAAGGGATTAGAAAACCCCATCCTATCTCCCAAATATATAAATAAGTGGATAAAATGGCTACAGGCAGAAGAAATAAGCAGAGGGAGGAGGAGAAACCCTCGGGGGGAGGATGCTCCCCAGCCCGGCCAGCACTCACAGCCACCCCAGCTGCCTACCATATCGGTGCCTTCCTGAAGAGCTGCTTCCAGGGAACCTTGGTCTGCTTGGGTATCGAGAGGCCTCTCATCAAATAGTCTACAGGGATGATGAGTTCTGCAGGGAAGAAAACACACAAAGGAAAGCTCTGATCAGTAACCTTCTGTGCAGCTGGAGGGAGCCCTGGGAGACTGCTGTACAACTACCTTTAATCTCCAACTCTTTTTTTTTTGGCAGTACCAGCATTGGATGCTCGTGAAAACACCTTATGCTGACCAAAATGTTTCTGCTGCATCTACACACTCCTCCATCCAGCCACCTTCACCCATTTGTTATATCTCTTGTTATAATTGAGCAGAAATCTCTTTGGGCAAGGACCAGGTTTGGATTTTGTGTAGCACCAGACACACACCAGGCTCCCCATGAGCTGGGCTCCTACATGCCACCCTCACACTGATAATGCTGGAGCCAGGTGTGATGGTGTGCCCATGTGCAGAATTACTCCCAGACAGTTATTTGGGAAGAGATAGTCTGGATTAACTGGTTTTTAAAAGCTCTATGTGTAGATGCTCTTAGTTTGAAATAAGTATCTTGCCCTGCTTTAGCTTAATCCACTTTGAAGATCATGCTCTGTTTGGTGTTTTCACTGGTGCTTAAGAGAACCGAGGAGACGGATCAGGCTCTTGACAGGGATATAATCCAATGTGGGACTCAAAATCAGCAATGCAAGAGCTCAACCCCTTGTTTCTGGGTTTAGCATCTTGGGTGAGACACGGTGTGTATTGTAGAAAGACACCTGAACAAAGGATCTTTGTGTAAAGCCAGGCACGAGCTTGGATGAACACAGGATTTGCAGAAAATAGGCGGGAGGTACCACCGGGGTCCCGCATCCTCGGGGATGCTGCAGCCCAGGGATGCAGGTGGCTGCACTCACCCTTCTCAGTCAGGAGGTACTTGCAGGTGCAGTAAACCCAAAGCAGAGTGAGCAAACCAGAGAAGTAGAAAACGCTCTCCCAGCCGTACCAGTCCAGGAGGAGAGACCCTGCACCGCCGATCACCAGCGTCCTGCAAGGGAAAAAACCACACTGGTCCGGCTAAAAGCATCTGGACCACAGGCATCCATGGGAGGTACTTCCCAGGGTGGATGCTCCGGGTCATTAAATACACTTAAAAGAGCCATCAGTCACTGCCTGTCACCCCGTGACTCTGCAACCTGCCCCATCCCCTGCGTGGCATCTCAGGATCATCAGCTGGGGAGGAGACACTGCTGTGGAACCCCATGCTTGCCTGCCCCACACTGAAACATGCTCGTCAGGGAAAGAAAATGAGGCTGCTGGTGTGCAGAAAGTATCTCAGAGAACGTAAATCAGCAAAAGAAATGAGCCCACTGGAAAACTAAGTGATTAAACGCAGTGATATTTCTATCTGGCTTTTAAGCAACCCTTCCATTTAGAAAGGAAATTCTCATGGAGATGAGCAGAGCCGGGGAAGTGATATTATCCCCATCCATCAGGGAGGGCAGGTGACCACTCTCGGGCTGACTCTTGCTCTTCCTACCGAATCAGGCTGTTTCCCATAGTAATTAAATGTTGCAAACACTCTTCAAAGTCTGGCTTGAAAAGAGAGAAAGGAAAAAATACAGAAATCCTTGACACACACGACAGCAAGTGCCTGAGGCTTCCTCAGCTGCAGCCAGGATCCTCAAGGACCCAGGAATCCACAGGTACTTTGGGCTGCGAGTTTTGCCTCCAACTATTTAATGGCATTTCATCACATGCCATGTCCAGAGACTGTCAGTCGCTGCTCAAAGCCTTTTGAACTTACCCAAACTGGGAGCCGGTCCCCACGGTGCTGTAGGTGAAGGCTCGCTCGCTCTCCCGGACCTTCTGGGACAGGAGACTGGCCAGGGATGGGAAATACACCCCTGTGAGCAACGGGAGCAAGGCAGGGAGCTGTCAGGCTCAAATCAAAAGCAAATTTAAAAGATCCAGCAGGAGCTAAACACCGAGACAAAGCAACAAGACTTCTGGTGGAATCAAAACAGGGATGTAAAATAAAATAAGTGAATCCATCTCCGTGAAAGGTTGGTCTGTGCCTTCTCCGTAATCCCCTGTTTCACCATCACTGATGCTGTAAACCCACCAGTGCCACCCACTCATCCCAACGGTCCCCCAGTGCTGCAGCTCAGCGAGGGGGGAGGAAAATCATCCAAAAGTTATCTAAAACTTTGGGCAAGGACCAATTTTCCCCCAGTGCTTTGAAGGAGTTTTAAAATGCGGCAACTCAAAAGAGGAGCACTGATGATCTCAGAAGGCAGCAGCCCGTGTGTGGCAGAGACATTTCGGGGGGGGAGATTCTTTGCCAGTGACTTTATCTAGAAATGTCACTTTTTCTTTTTTTTTTCCCCCCAGAAGTTCTGGCTGCGGAGGCAGTTTTGAGGCAGAGGAATGCTCAAACACGCAGGAGAGCACTGCAAACCTCATGAATTGCATCCGAATTTACCCCCCCCCGAGAGCCCCCCTGGTGGAAAGCCCTGGGCAGACAGACACACAGCCAGGTGTGCTCAGGACAGGGCTCTCACCTTGCAGCAGCCCCATGAGGAACCTGGAGGAGGTCATAAACACCAGGTGGGCAGAGGTGACGTGAGTGAGGAGCGGGGTGATGACCGTCAGGAACCCCCAGGCTGATGCCGAGAGGAGGAGGACCTTCTCCCCCCCTATCCTGGAAGGCAGAAAACACGTTATCAAACACCAGCAGAGAGCAAAAGGGCAAAGCCCCCCAGTCAAGCCTCATCTGCTTCCCAGTTTAGCCTGTTTTGAAGCACAACCTTTGGGTCAAACCTGTTTTTCTCCTCTTGAAAATGTCTTTATCCCCCTGGGGGAGTATGATCAGCAGGGACCTCCCTTCCCACCTCCCCCAGAGCAGGTGGCCAGTGGCATTCTCTCACCAGGCCACTGGCCACCAGTGCTGCCCGTCCAACCAGATGCCCTGAGACACCACCCCACTGGTGCACCCCCATCTCAGATGGAGGGGAAGCCCACGCTGCTGTCACCGTTCTGCTTTCCTTAACCACTGGTGGTGTTTTCTCTTCCATCTGCAATTTTGCACCAGCTCTGCTGTTCACACTGGGATTTTTTGCAGGCATTTGCTTGCACATTATTAAGGAACATAATTAAACAGCACAGTGCACTGCACGGATACCACACTCCTTCCAGGCACGTGTTCCTCACAAAAGATTTCATAGGAAAGCCCTCCTCATGAAGAATAGGGTGGCTGGGGAAAGGAACTCGAGCAGGTGATCGCTCAGATCCTACAGCTAACTGGGGCAGCTGGTTTTTAATGGACATGATAAAATGGAGACACTTGGTTTTCCCAAAGAGGATGGAAACATCGATGGGGGCTCACTTGTGAGAAGACTGCATGGGAATGAATGTAGGGTGGAAAAACTGGAGGTGCTGGACTGAAAATGGAGACAGGTTACACAGATCAAATAGAAAAAAAGCTGCATTCCTTGCAAAAAGGAAATATTTTCTTCTCCTGGTTAGCAATTGCAGCCATAAACTCTTCCAAGTGGCTGTCTGGCATCACTGGGACTGAACTGTTAATGGACAAGTAACACTCCCAGCGAGCAGGAGCTATGAGCTATGCACAGAGCACCAGCCTTTAGCACTTTTCTAAAATAAAGTCTGCTTTACACCCACTATTTCTTTCATCGGCTTAACTTGTAAGCTTGTGGGTTTGCTTTTTTTATTCCAGTTACTGAACCAGGGCTCAAAACAGCCTCCATCAGAAATATTATGCTGGTATAAAAGTGCTCTTCACATTTTCCAGGTGAAAAAAACCACAACCCTTTGTTGGTCTAAGTGTCCACTAACACGACTGTGGATCTCTCCTGGCTGCTGCTCTGCAGGCACCAGTGATGACTGTGGAGATGCTCCCTGTGTCACCTGGGGATTTTGCCTGTGCAAAGTCACAGAAACACAGAATCTTCATGGTTGGAAGGGACCTTTGAAATCATCGAGTCCAACCATACACAAAAAAACATCGACAAAACCCCAACCCAACAATCTTGGGCACTACCAAAAAAACATCAACAAAACCCCTAACCCAACAATCTCAGGCACTAGAGCGTGCCCTGAAGTGCCACGTCTACACGTTTCTTAAATCCCTCCAGGGATGGTGACTCCACCACCTCCCTGGGCAGGCTGTTCCAGTGCCTGACCATCCTCTTGTCAAAATAATTCTTCCCAATATCTCATCTAAACCTCCCCTGCCCCAACTTCAGACCATTTCCTCTGCTCCTGTCATTATTCCCTTGGGAGAAGAGGTCAACCCCCACCTCTCTACACCCTCCTGTCAGGTAGTTGTAGAGGGCAATGAGGTCTCCCCTCAGCCTCCTCTTCTCCAAACTAAACATGCCCAAGTCCTTTGGTACACGCTGCCCTGTGAGCATCACACTGATTTTAAGATCCAGAGATCAAATTGGACAGTCAAAACTACATGTGTCCCCTCTGAATCAGAGCTCCAGACTCTGAGTGAGGCTGATGGAGAGGTCTCAGCTGCTTCCAGAGCAACCTGTGGTGACCCATAAAGCTTCTCCCCATGGACATCCTTCACCCTTCTACCCCATCACTGTCCCAGCCGCTGCTGAGACTTGAACCGAGAGGTCATTCAAAAAGCCCGAGCAGAGGAAAACATGAGAATAATTTCCAGTACTGATCACTGATATGTCCCCCGATAATCTGCGTCAGGCAGTAGCCCCAGAAGAAGCTGCTGAGCACGATGCCGGATTGCTTCTTGTCCCAGTCGAAGTGGGTGCTGAGGGCGACGGCACAGACGGGCACGGTGACGCGGGCGCAGTACAGCAGGCAGGTCCCCAGCAGCAGCATCACCGTCCAGACACGGGACTCGGGCCTGCAGGGATGGAGAGATGGGGAAAGGGTTGATGGAAGGATCCTCCTGGCAGATCCACCCACAGCGAGGACTCACTGGTGTGACTGGTTCGCTTGCAAGGCGTGAGGAGCCTCGTCTTGCTAAAAGAAAGGTAAGTACAACCCCTTGTACAGAGCATGGTGGCTCTGGCACAGAAGGTATCACACCTGGTGGCTTTTAGGAACGATGCTGATTTTCATCCCAAACCCTGTTTGACCACAGCAGCACAATCGTGTCTGCCCGGAGGCTGCAAGGTGGAACGGGCTGAGCTGACCGTGGGGGAAAACCTGGTTTGTTTGCTTTTCTCCCCAAACAAAAGCTTTAGAAACTGTTCTTTAAAAGATAAGGATAACAAAGAAAAAAAGGTCATGGGGTTGTGAAAATTTGCAGGAGACACACCTTCTGTGCAGCAAACATTTGTTGTTTGGCATTCTGACCCATTCCCCAGGGAGGTGTGTGTGTCACCCTCCCTAAACAGGGGGGAGAGGAGGAATTCTTTAGTGAGAGGCAAGACATGATGGGGCTGAAGAGCCCAGAGAGAGGAGTGAGAGAATCCAGCCTGGCCTGGCAAGAAGGTTAAGATAATATTAGTAACAACATGTTAAAAGCATGTATTTTTTGTTACATGAGTTCCCAAGGAAAGTGCTCCTGCAAAAGATACAGGCTAGAAATAAATAGGAAGGTGATTTTTCTCTGCTCCAAGTCAGCATCGTGCTTCTGGAGCAGAAACCCACACTTTGCTGCAAACCTCAGGTCCCAGGTGCACCTGAACCCCTCTTCTGAGGGGGGACCCTCACATCAGTCTTGGTCCCGTGAATTACGGAGTTAAAAGCTGAGTGAGAACACCCACTATTTGTATTATTTGTATTTGGTTATTTTTGTGCCCGGAGCACAAAGCACTGAGCAAACGGACTCTCTGCTCCAGCACTGAGGGGAATTCACTGTACCAGGGCACCAACCCCTCTGCTTTCCACCCCACTGAACTGACCCACCTCCGGCACGGGGAAACAACCCTGGTCACTTTTTATATTGATAGGGGCATTCATGGGGCTGGACTGGGATGATGATAAATGTAGGTTAATCCCACACAGCACAAACCCATTTATAAACGGTGTCAAATGGCCCGTCACGGGGGGAGGCAAAGGAACAATGAGAAGTAACCCGGGCCAGGCAGCCGTGCCCACGGGAGGTGAATTTATTGCCGTTTCCCCAGGAGGCAGATAAGCAGCTCCAGCTCGGTGCCAACTTCTGGCAGGAGGAACTGGAAGTGTTTCAGGTGGTGCTTTGGAGGTGGGAGCCGTCGTTGCCGTGCACACGTACAGAACAACACAGGAACTAGACACCCTCACAGATCTTTGCTGGAGGAACAAGCAACCAAGGGTTGAGCTGCCTCGGCCGTTTGAACTGGCCGATAACCATCTCAGTTCCTCCTGGCCTTATGCCACGTGGAAGATACGCAGCAATCATAGCGTAATTTGCTGCACAACCAAAGGTGATTTGTTGTCTAATTGCCTGCTCCACCGAGCCCAGCTCCCTGTGGCAAAGCTCAGAGAAACCAGAGGCTCCCAGACGCCCCTTCCCACCAACCCAGAGGGACCATACAGGGGGGAGCTTTGGGGTACTGTGTCCAGTTTGGGGGCCCCTACCATAAAAAAGACATAGAAGTGCTGGAGCAGGTCCAGAGAAGGGCAACAAAGCTGGGGAGGGGTCTGGAGCACAAGTCTTATGAGGAGAGGCTGAGGGAGCTGGGGTTATTCAGCCTGGAGAAGAGGAGGCTGAGGGGAGACCTTATTGCTCTCTACAACTCCCTGAAAGGAGGGTGTAGAGAGGTGGGGGTCGGTCTCTTCTCTCAAGTCACAGGCGACAGGACGAGAGGAAATGGCCTCAAGTTGCGCCAGGGGAGGTTCAGGATGGATATTAGGAAAAATTTTTTCACTGAAAGGGTTATCAGGCATTGGAATGGGCTGCCCAGGGAGGTGGTTGAGGCCCCATCCCTGGAGGTGTTCAAAAGCCGGGTTGATGTAGTGCTGGGAGGTATGGTTTAGTGATGGTGATGCTTCTTGTTTGTTGTGTGGGTGTCTATTTTTGTCAGTCAGGTTGACGGTTGGACAAGATGATCTTTAAGGTCCCTTCCAACCTAGAAGATTCTGTGATTCTGTGGTAGAAACCCCCCCAAGGGAGGCAGAGAGTAGGTGGGGGGTAACCAGTGATGGGAAACGTTGCAGAGAGCCCTCAGGGGGGTGTCTCAAGGTGATCTGGGACATGCAGGCGTAAGGACACGCAGACTGACCTGTGGCTGCCAACCCCGTGCTGCTGCACCCCCAGGAACGGGCTGCTGCCAGCCCGGGGCCGTCATCTCCCCCGTTATCTACAGCGGCACGGCGCCGATAAATTCCAGCTATTGGACCTGCAACAGCTGAGGTGACCAAGTAAAACGCAGCAGCCCGCGATGTGCGTGGGCTTTTCCCATTATTCAGCTGCCGAGACAGTTTTCTAAATTGTCTAAATTCCCCCCCGAAGCAAAGGGAGAGCTTTATGAGTTTTCTCCCCGTCTGGAGCGGGGCTGAGCTCTGCCTCGTCTCCTGGAGTTATTCTGATGAGCGCGGCAGCATTTTAATGGGATATTAAATCGACTCTTCTTCCCTGGCCCTAAACCATGTACGGCTGTGCAAGGTGTGAGATGGAGAGGAAAAGAACTGTGAGGCTTAAGTAGACTTTACTCTGCTTCTCTTTATAATATTGCCAAGGTCTGTTCCCTCCAGTGGGTGTTTGCAAGCAGGAAAAAACAAATCCCACACACACAGGGCAATGCCAGTGTCCGAGGGAGATGCAGGCGAGGGGGAGCATCATGGTTTGGTACCCAAAGAAGCAATGAGGGGCTCTGGCGTCAGGGCAGAGGGGCAGGAAGGGATGCTGAGAGCTCCCAGCCTTCGGGCAGAGTCACCCGAGCCCCTGTGACACGAGGAGATTTTGGGGAGGGGGTTAGGCAGTGCTGGGTTAGCCAGGAAACAAGTCCCACCCGGCCGAGAGCAGGGCTCAAAGTGCCACGTGGGATCCTGTGAGAGCAAGACACGGTCCCAAGCGCAGCTCAGAGACCGCAGCGGGACGGGGCTGCCAAGCAGAGACCTCCTCCCTCCTCCCCAGCTGATGTTTTGACAAAACTCCAGTGAATTATTTTCCCTTGACTTCCATTCTTCTTTTCAAAAGCACTAAATAAGCCCCTGGGTATGAGACACACTCTTCGGTTGCTCCTCCAATCTATTACACTCTTTTCCTATACGTTTAAACGCATCACTAGAGGCTCATGCTGAAAACCAATGGGGAGTATAAAGACAGCTTCAGACTACCTCTGGCTCCCCAGGTAGCACATCCAGCTAGGAAAAGCCATTCAAATAATAGGAGTGTTAAATGCAGTCGCTAGCTGCCCACACCCACCTGGCAGCATGGCAAGAATTATTTCTCTGCGAGGACAATGATGTGCTTGCATCAGAGGAAAGAGCTTTGTAAATGCATTTTCTCCTAATTATAGTTATCACAGAGGCTGCCGATGAGTCAATGTTCTGCTCAGAGCAAAACAACAACAGCAAAGGTTTACAGGAGGAACCTCGACTAGCACAGAGGGGGAAAACTAAAACTCTCCTTCAAGAACTACGGAATAACAATAAACCAAAGAGTTTTTGTGGGTAACACCAGCCACCCGAGAAGCGGAGCTTTACCAGAGTTAACAAAATAAATCTAATGGCTTCGCTGCTGAGGGAGGGAGAGGTAATCTGTGCTGGAGAAAACCAAACTGAGTCAGAGCAAAGCACATCTGAAACTAAGGAAGTCAGAGCCGTTGGTGTCATCGGTGCCACCGTCACACCGGGGTCAGACCAAGCATCTCCCCACAACCCCGTGTGGGTCCTGGCCAAGCCCAGGCTAAAGGGGGCAGAAACCTCCGGGAGAGGGGACAGCCACCTCCAGACTGTCGGCAGGTGAATCACCAGAGCTTGTTCTGGAGCCACCTAATTAACTTAATTGGGTGCCGCGTGATGGTGGTGGCTCTGGGCTGTGCCCCCCGACCGGTCATGCCTTTCTGCTTACAAGACACAGGCGCTGCAGGTGCATCCCCTTCTGCCTGTCACCGAGACCCTCCTCACCCAGCCAGGCAGCTAGAAAACACTTCCTATTTCACAAACCTCCAACCACCAGCCAGACAGGCTATAATTAGATCTCGAGCCCTAATGACTCTTCCTGGGCGGCTTTTTATACAGCACCAGCCCCCACGTTCTCCTCCTCCAAAGCCAGCCCCGGGTGCTCATGGCTTTGCTCCCAAGCATCCAGGGATTCTCCTGGGACCAGCTCCCCCCAACCACATGGGTGCCCTGCTTAGGGCACTAATTACGAGTCATTTTTAAGGCTGCCTGAGAGCCCCAAAGGGGCAAAACCAAGCCAAGCTGTCCTGCGGTGGAAGGAGAGCCAGCAGCACAGGGTATCTTTATATCTTTATTTGCAGTGTGTTTTCCTGCTGGAGGAATTTCTCCGGTAGATGCCACAGAGCAAATATTTATTCAACTTTATTTCTCTTGCTTTGCCTTCCTCCTTTTCCCCCCGGTCTGCAGGTCTGTCTGTAGGTCTGTCTGTCTGCAGACACTGCAGGTCACTGTTCAAACGGACTGGCTGGAGTTTGGGTTATCAATTAGATTACAGTTCAGTGCCCCTTCAAGGCAGGAGTCCGGACTATCAGGTATTTTCAGGAGGTGAGAGGGCTGTGTCAGACAGCCAGACTACCAACAGTGTGTCCCAGCAACAGCTCTTGGCCCGAAGCCGGCTCCGAGGTTTTGTGGGTGTTTTCCATAACTGGGATTGGAAGTGGGAGAAGAAGTGGGGGCTGCAGCTCCTGAGCTGCATCCGAGCTGCACCGTGGCCAAGGTGGGCACACGTGGGCACGTGGTGGGCATCACCAGGACATAACGCCCACCCCAGCACATTGCTACCTCAGTTCCCCTCTCTAAAAAGAGACTAAAACCAGCTCCGTGGGAGATGCACAGAGGGGAGGTTGGCTGGAGTGACCTCCAGTGTCCCCAGCCCGCAGTGGACACCCACCGTCCCTGCAGGAACCCCGGGAGGAGCAGGGTGGGGATGAGCCCCTGAGGTGGCACCGAGTCCCCAGCCGGGCTGGAGGGCCATCAGCTCCAAACCAAGGGCACCCAGCAGCCCTGGTGGCATCTCCCAGGGGGATGTCCCCAGTCTGGGCAGCCGGTGCCTGTGCCCCCCCCCGTGCCTGTCACACCACAGCCTGGGGACCTTCTCCTCCCTGGACGTACCCCCAGCCCCATGGCAGCACCCCACTTAAAAAATACCTCTTTTCCAGCTTACCTGCCTATGGCTTTCATTTACAGTGATCTCCTGCAAACCACGGCCTGAGGGACGTGGCGTAAACACAGACACCCCGTGCCAGCAGATAATACCCAGCTAGTTATTTTTAACCTGGTTTGACAGTCCTCTCACTTCTCTCACTATTTGTTTTTTTCTCAACAAACTCTCCATCCCCTGAAAAATCTGAAGTGATTGTCAAGAGAGAGGTTTGGGGTGGTTTTTTCCCCCCTCCTTGAGCTGATTCCATCGTGTTGCCAACCGGCTTCAAGCTAATGATTTGTCGCTGTCAAAAAGTAGCTTTGGGGTTTGGAGAAGGGTGGGGTTTTTTCCGATCCACCAGCGAACAGCCGAGGGGAGCAGCACAGAGGACACAGGGCTTTTTTTTTTTCCTAGAAAAGCTGCTGGTTTCCTGTCAGCCTCCCGTGCACAGACTCCTTCCGCAGATGGCAACAAAGTGGTGTTCAGCAAGCACGGCTCCGGGCTTCTTCCCTCTCTTCATTTCTTGCTTTCAGCAAAAGCAAAGATGAAATTAGATTTCGGCAGCTCGTATGAGCGGGAAAGAGTTGTTGAGTCCAGGTGGAGGCGGTGGAAAAACATGACAACAAAGCACAGGCGTGCTCTGCCCCCATCTCGGGGCATTCGTGGGCCAGGCAGGAATAAAGCACAGGCGTGCTCTGCACGGCTCATCTCGGGGCATTCGTGGGCCAGGCAGGAACGAGACGCGTGCCCTGCTCACCTTTTCCACGTGAAAAAAGTTCTCAGCTTAGTCATGATTAAAACCAGGGTGAGGAACTTGTACAATAAAAAACCTCAACCATCAAAAACACCCCAAAATGCAACTAAAGTTGCATCGTGATGTTGACAAAAGACGAGGGCAAACGAGACGCGTGCCCTGCTCACCTTTTCCACGTGAAAAAAGTTCTCAGCTTAGTCATGATTAAAACCAGGGTGAGGAACTTGTACAATAAAAAACCTCAACCATCAAAAACACCCCAAAATGCAACTAAAGTTGCATCGTGATGTTGACAAAAGACGAGGGCACGGAGCTCAGAAAAACAATGTGACCGTTGGCTCCGGGCAAAGAGTGCAGTCAAGTGACTGGGGACCAGCTCGTGGCTGGTGGTACAACCCCTTTTATTTCCAGAGCTTGAAGAAACTGCTGTAATAATCTTCAGGTCTTCAGGTGTAGCCAGAGGCTGGGAGATGGTTTCGGGAGCCGTTCGCTTCCCAGGACACACTGATTTTTCCATGTTGTATTTTAATCCTGGAGGCACCATCCAAAAGGTGGTCCTCACATCTCCTGCTGGACCTGCCCGTGGCTTTGTGTGCAACCTCTAGCAACAGATTTCTCTTCTCAGCGCTTGGGTCTTCCCCCCAGTTAAACCAGAGGCACCAATGCATGTCTACTGCCTGAGGGATTCTGCTTTGGCCTGGGAAGATCTCCATAAAAACTTTTCTGTGTTGTATTTCTCTCCTGAAGGCACCATCCAAAATGTTCTCACATCTCCTGCTGGACCTACCCGTGGCTTTGTGTGCAACCTCTAGCAACAGATTTCTCTTCTCAGCACTTGGGTCTTCCCCCCAGTTAAACCAGAGGCACCAATGCATGTCTACTGCCTGAGGGATTCTGCTTTGGCCTGGGAAGATCTCCATAAAAAAGCTCTATCTCAACGTCCAGACGCGCTACAGAAACGCGAGGGCTTTCCCAAGCCCCAAACAGAAATCCCTGAGCGTTGTTCTTGGAAGAGCAAGAGGAGATGTGTGCGAAGGGAGCCGCTGGAAACCTGCAGAAAAGCATGGGAAGGGCAGCTGGAGAGACAGGATAAAACACGGGGCAAGAAGAGGGGAAGAGGAAGGAAAAGGCGGCTGAAAGAAAGGGAGGACAAAAGAAGAAGCGGCATAAACAAAGATGGAAAAATAAACCTGTGGAGATAACTGTTTGTCTTTCCTTGGGCTGACGGTGCAGACAGATCTTGGAAGGCTGCCTGGCATGGCTTTTGTTGGAGCACGAAAGGAGAACCCATGTCACTTCCCCCACTTGACAAAACCTTGCCTCCGTGGCAGTAACTCATCCCTTGGAAATGGTGGGAGCCATTTATTTGCACACACTGTTCAAAAACTGTCCACGAAACTGATCTGAAGCCATCCCATGAGGTGTTTTATACAACTGGACCAACCTGCTGGGGTGACCCACGGATCACTCTCCCTTTCTGCTCCCTTCTTCCCGTTCCCACCCTCCACACCCCTGTTTACTTTAGACTATAAAAGACTCCATAAACCCTCCCCAAAAAAGGGCTGTGACCACAGGTGTGTGTCTGCGCCAGGCAACGGGGAGGTGATCCCTGCTCCTGGAATTACTGCAATAGAGATAAGGATCTGGCTGGAGTGATGGTTATCCTGCTGCTCCTCCACGTTAACCGGATTCATGGTCAGAATCCCTTCAAAACGTATCTGTCTCAATAAATAAATCATCACTTTGGAAAGTGTTATCGACGGTTTGCATTTTTCTAAGAGATTTGGGAAACTAGCAGGTTCATTCTGGCCAAATGTTTTTAATTTTTTCTAGAGGAAAAACATATAAAGGGAAACTTTTTTCACGAAAATTTGGCACTAGCTTCTGCCTCTCCCACCGTTCCCGTTTTCATAAAGACTTAGGGAAAAGACATAAAGGGGGAGAGAGAGAGAAGGAGTTTTGGCAATTGCTTTTGGGGGAGAGAATCTTCAAGTGTTAAGCAACCCCAGTGCCAAAGAGCTGCTTTTGGGACCTATCCCCTTATCTTGAGACACGTCTGGGTTCGATTAGACTTCCAGGTCTCAGGCTGCAGGAGAAATCTCCTCGGGATGGCAGTTAATGTCAGCTATCAGCCTGCTGCCGCTGCAGGAAGTGATTGATGATAAACCCCAATTTACCCAGCAGCTAATTACTGCCGGACGGGGCAATTCCTCCCCTTGGCATCACATTCCTGCACATTGGCATCGATGTCACCTGTCCCCAGAGGAGTTTTGGCAACTGCTTTTATGGGGAGAGAATCTTCAAGTGTTAAGCAACCCCAGTGCCAAAGAGCTGCTTTTGGGACCTATCCCCTTATCTTGAGACACGTCTGGGTTCGATTAGACTTCCAGGTCTCAGGCTGCAGGAGAAATCTCCTCGGGATGGCAGTTAATGTCAGCTATCAGCCTGCTGCCGCTGCAGGAAGTGATTGATGATAAACCCCAATTTACCCAGCAGCTAATTACTGCCGGACGGGGCAATTCCTCCCCTTGGCATCACATTCCTGCACATTGGCATCGATGTCACCTGTCCCCATGGCCAGGGCGAGCTGGCCGGGGGGTGACACTGGCCCTGAAGTCAAAGGGGAGCTGATGGGACAGGCCACCGCGGTGGCAGCCAGGGGTTAGTTCCTCTTCGTGGCAGCATTGAATCACACCAAATTTCAAAAGCACTGGTGGAGTCCGGGGGCTCCCAGTTTGCAAAGGCCTCTGAGCATCACTTCCAGCTGCCACATGGCACTTGTGAATCACCATCTCACCCCGCCTGGGCTGGGAGAAGCGGGGGATCCCGGGGTGCTGGGTGACTTTCCCGGGGGGGCGGCGAGGAGGGCACTGCCCCAGGTCGCCCAGGTGGCCCCTGGGCTCGGAGCCTCCGCTCCAAACACAAACCCACCCTGGGTTTGCTGTTAAAAGTAGACAGCCTGGGCTCAATAGCGCTTTTAAAGGCTTAATAGTGTTTTGAACTCTCTTAATTACTTCGCTTGAAGAACGGTTTGTGCTGCCGTTGCTGCCCAGCTCCTACTCCAGGCTTTATCTTAATTAATTTCTATCAGCAGTACAAACATTCCTGCCGGAACACTTCGCTACCTACCTCCGAGTGGTTTCAGCGCCGTGTTTAAACCGCTGCCTACAGGCCAGAAATGAGCCGAAATTGCCTTTTTTAACCCCGCTGCGTCTCACGGTAACTCCGCGTCTCCCCCTTTCCCCGTCTCGGTGGGAGGGAACCGGCGGAGGCTGCCCGGGGGCGGCGGGACCCTGTCCCGGGCACCGTCCCCCCGCACCCCCCGGCGGGGCAGCACCGGGAGCGGGGGGAGCGGAGGGGCTGGGACCGGCGACATCCCAAACGGCTGTCCCCACGGGACCCCCGAGCGACACCGCCTCTCCGGGGAAGGGTGCGGGCTGCCCGACCCCCTCCATCCCCAAAACGGCACCTCTTCGCAGGGGGCGGCGGCGGCGGGTCTCGGGGGATGCGGGAGGG